ATTGTTTGTTTGTTTATAATTATGCACAAAGCTACACAAGGGCTATCTGTGCTCTGCCCACCACTGGTATCGAAACCCGGTTTCTAGCGTTTTAAGTCCGCAGACATACCGCTGTGCCACGGGGGGGGGTGGCGATAGGGGTGTACACAAATAATGTATCCTCGCGATAAAATGGGGGTAGGGTTATCACACGTGCTAACTTTGATTCACTGGACAGTAAACAAAATAAGAATGGTATGCACAGCTATGTGTAGAGCAAAGTGTAATCGCGCAAGCGCATTAGTGAGCCCGTACACTGAAGTGAGTCGGTTTGTTTGTTTTTGAAATTCACGCAAAGCTACTCGAGGGCTATCTGCTAGCCGTTCTCAATTTAGAAGTGATACACTAGATGGAAAGAAGCTAGTCAACACCACCCACCGCCAACTCTTGGGCTATTCTAATCAAACAGTGAGATTAACTATCACATTATGGCGCCCCACAGCTGAAAAGGCGAGAATGCCCTACGATAGATTTCGAACCTGCGACCAGCAAATTGCAAGTTGAATGCGCCAACCAGCAGGCCATACCGAACCTCATTGTCGTAGCAATAACTTCATTAAAACATATGTTTAAGTGTTTCAATATTTCACTGAGCCTATCTACTTACTCAACACTATCCAAAAACTTAAATATTTTGTAGGTAACTTTACAATTAAAGAGATAAATCAGCTGAAATCAATAGAAAAACATTTAGGTAATTTCAATAATATTATATTTCTACCCGAGACACAATTCCTACACCCAAGGTCTGATTACGCTGATTTCATTGTTTGTTGTTTAGCGCAAAGATATCTCTGTACTCTGTCTACTCCAGTTATCGAAACCTGAGTTTTAATATTATAAGTCCTCAGACTTACTGCTGATCCAATTGGGAGAGGGAACTATTACAGTGATAGCTTCCCAAATATAAATAATTATAAAAAATCCCGATCCAGACTTTACGGGTCATGAGTGCGTTAAAGGAGTGACGGTAAAATCCCTCTATTCGATTATAAGAGCTCACTAGTGGCGGTGGGTAATGTTGACCAGTTGCTTTCCCTCTAGTTTATCACTTCAAAATTAGGAATGGCTAGCAGAGATAGTCTTGAAATAGTTTTTCTAGAAATTCAACAAATAACAACATCTTTCTGTTTATTTGGAACCTTCGGGCTTCAGAACTGCAGCATCAGACGTTATTAGTAAATCATATTTTTGGTTGTTAATATTTCGATAGAGAAAGACCCACAAAACACATTTTAGTTTTCAGTGATACAATGTACAATAATCAAATTATGTTTTTAAATATTTATGCATGGGTTGTATTACTGTGGCGATCTTCCTTTTGAGGCCTAGATATTTGACGTACGTGTCATATAAATTAAAACGTGTGCTTTGAATTGTCATAGCACGTGAAGTACCTACGGTAATGGGTGTTAAATCACGAGGGGAGTTGTACTGGCCAGGTTTTACGGGGATCTAGGGTACCGATTTATGAGGTCACTGGTACAGGGAAATGTTATTTGTAGATCAAGTGAAAACATTGGTAACAGTTTAATTAATAATCAGATATTAAATCAACCTTGTTTTGAATGGTCCAAATGTTATGTGTTGACGATTCTTGGTAGTGTATAACAGAATAAATATGTAAGATTGCTTATTTGCAATCACGTGCTTTTTTTTTGATATATGCATATTTCTATGTTATTCGTGTCCTGAAAAGTAGGCTTAATATGCACTCCCAGCATTTGTGTATACATTTTTTTTAGATTATAATAAATAATTAAAAACAACGTTTTGTTTTTATACAACATATTTATTATAATTTTTTTAAAAAGTAGGCTTAATAATTCCCACAATTCCACTGAGACAAAGGGTGTAGAACAGTAAGTCATTTAAATATCATTACATAAGTGACATTAGAAGTTAAGGCAGGAAACTAGTTAACGTGACAAGTGTGTATGTGTGTGTTCACATTAATGTTTGTATTTTCTTCTACCTACAAGACGTATAATGTCGCTCTCACCGGTGCTTCACAGCCTAAAGAAGATACGATACAAACTAATATGTCGTAAAGTAAAGGGCTTCTTTTACAGTATAATGTTTGATATGATATCGCAAACACTAAACGTCAGTGTGATTTCGATCACATCCAACTCATCACATTTAGGGAACGAATACATTGTTTTGTAATGAAAGAATGCCTCGTTTGTAGTTTTTCTTCTGTAGAGGTTTTACCTCATGAGCAAGTATCATGTTAAACAGTTATGCTGTATATAAACCAGCTCTTGATGACTGCCAAAACAGAGATGGTTGTTCTTTGGGTTTTTTGGTTGTTTTTGTTTTTTTTTCATTCTTTAGAATTGCAATCTTACCTTCTCCCAACAGATTTGATTGGTTGAACACGTTACTACAGTTGACCAATCCCTCGGGACGAAGACTGTCAGAAAACGTTATAAGAACTTTGTCAAGGCTGTCAGCAAATCGAGCGGTGATTGGCTGGGGAGCTTCTGGTGGTTGTATGGTTGTGGTACTTGACTGTGATGTCAAAACAGAGGAAAGAATAAAGTGAACACTAGATATTAAATACTTGGGTAATTTAATTAGAAAACTAACGAATACCTCAATGTATTTATTATAAAACCGAAATGTCAGATTTATCATCTAAAAAACAGAGAACATTTTGAACAAAGAAATAATTATACAAACAACAATGTATTAACAACTTACAGACTCGGATGCACTATTTTCAGCTGTCGTTGTGGGTAACTCTGTGGTAGCAGGTTCATTCGTCGTTGTAGGTAATTCTGTAGTGGTAGGTTCATTCATCGTTGTGGGTAACTCTGTAGTGGCAGGTTCATTCATCGTTGTGGGTAACTCTGTAGTGGCAGGTTCATTCATCGTTGTGGGTAACTCTGTAGTGGTAGGTTCATTCATCGTTGTGGGTAACTCTGTAGTGGTAGGTTCATTCATCGTTGTGGGTAACTCTGTAGTGGTAGGTTCATTCGTCGTTATAGGTAACTCTGTAGTGGTAGATTTAATCGTCGTTGTAGGTAATTGTGTGGTGGTAGGTTCACCGGTACTTGTAGGTAATTGTGTGGTGGTAGGTTCAGCGGTACTTGTAGGTAATTGTGTGGTGGTAGGTTCACCGGTACTTGTAGGTAATTGTGTGGTGGTAGGTTCACCGGTACTTGTGGGTAAGTGTGTGGTGGTAGGTTCACCGGTACTTGTGGGTAAGTGTGTGGTGGTAGGTTCATTTGATGTTTTTTCGGTTTCTACGTCAAATAAAAGTCCCTCCGTAGAGTAGACTGTTGTTAATTTCCTTGTTGTTGGAGATTCTTGTTCAATAGCCCTAAAATAAAAAAATGGTTTTAGAACATAACTAACAAAGAGATAGATACAGATAAAGTTTCATTATTAATCACACATAAATAGGCTCACATTTAACAAAAATAAATAAAACCCCAAAAAATGTTAACAATAAGAAAATATTTTAAGTACACCAATTAAATGCAAGTATTGATGTGAAAAATGAAATCAAAGTACGATCTTTCATAAAAAAAAGGTATCAGCAAACATTTAGTAAAAATCTGTTATAATAGCATAATAGAGAAAAGCAGCAGAATTAAATATCTGAAGCCACTAAAAACCAATGTTCTTAAGGTAAAATGCCTTTAAATATTAAGACGAACAAAAAATATAATTTTGTTTAATTTACACTAAAACCATATATTACATCTTCCCCCACAAAAAAGAAGTAATAGAAAACATACAGGTGAATTCCGTAATCCGAATAATTGGGACAAGATATAAGAGTTGTCGTTGTTTTTCCACATCGTTTGCAAAATAAGCTCACCTTATGCTAAAAATAGTTATCTACAAAATTGCAATAGCCGAACGTCTGATGTACACAGTTCAGAAACTATCAATTTTCAGACAATTACATGAACAAGTAGAATTTTTCTGAATCCCCAAAATAATAAAACCAAATTAAGACGGTAGCATGAGTCATTACTTCGAAATTTTGGGAAACTTGTTTTTGGTGGCACGTGTTTCTTTGGAAAGCTTATTTGCAACCACGTGCTTTTTTTCGATATACGCATATTTCTATGTTATTCATGTCCTGAAAAGTAGGCTTAATATGCACTCCCAGCATTTGTGTATAATTTTTTTTAATTATAATAAATAATTAAAAACAACGTTTTGTTTTTATACAACATATTTATTATATATTTTTTAAAAGTAGGCTTGATAATTCCCACAATTCCATTGAGACATTATATGTTACCATTACATCATAAGTGAAACTGTATAATGGATATTATTTGAACTAACAAAAGAACATTGAATTACGACGTAAGACAAAGTATTGACTTTGCTCATCATCCATGAAATTAGAAGTAATATAAGCTCTTAAAATCTAACAAAAAACCTAAATTGAAAAATACGAGCTCTTTTCCAGTAACATTTAATTAATAGCTCCCCAGTGGCACAGCGGTATGTCTGCGGACTTACAACGCTAGATTCCGGTTTTCGATACCCGTGGTGGGCAGAGCACAGATAGCCCATTGTGTAGCTTTGTGCTTAATTACAAACAAACAAATTTAATCAATAACGTGTATACTGCCACCAATATAGGAAAATCCGAAGAAAGATGTTAGATCATTATACAGTTTAAACAATGAAATAGCAGTTGAGTATTGGTTGTTAAACCTAGCCATGAAATAAGAAAAACGTGAGTTTTTTTTTCTCCTTTTCACTTGAACCCGAAACTCTTGAACTTAATTCATTGTAGCTGGTGAGAAAATTGGTAAATATCTTGTTCTTTTGCCAACTCTAACTTTAGTCAGTATAAGTTATATTCTAGCAACAGAATTGATTTTGTATCCATCTCTGCACATCTAGAGATTCGGCAATTAAATACCATAAGGAATCTAAACGCTTACCCGATATAACCAAGAGCATAACATTCACAAGTCAAGAATCTTGAGTCTGGATCAAACTTTGCTGTAACACAAACATCAGTGTTCCAACTTTTGGAGAGCAGGTCGAATATTCCACACTTAAGAAAAGAAAGTTATGTTATAAAACCAACTAGTTTATGTCAATTTTTAAAACCTAGTTAAATTTGTGATGCACTAAACATGGCATGTTATTGTTCCCTATCTGTAGATCGGAAAAAAAGATCATCCATGCTGAAGTTTTAAGAGTTCCGTGAGCAGAAAATGTGATTGAGTTTTTAATTGCTGTTCTTTCATACATTGTTAATAAGCGGAAATTCACTCTAATCCTTCAAAATTAAACTAAATTTCCATTTTAACAACTTACATGGAGCTTGAGTTAAGTTAAGCATGCTAGAATTATCTTAGTGAGTTATGAAAATAATTATCCTTTCTTCCGCCATTTTAGTCCTAATAGCAACAGGTATTCAAGTTGGCTGTCAGCATGTTAGAATTATCTTAGTGAGTTATGAAAATAATTATCCTTACTTCCACCATTTTAGTCCTAATAGCAACAGGTATTCAAGTTGTCTGTCAGCATGTTAGAATTATCTTAGTGAGTTATGAAAATAATTATCCTTACTTCCACCATTTTAGTCCTAATATCAGACAGTATTCAATTAGGCTGTCGCCACCCCAGATTTATCTTAAAGAATTATGAAAATAACTACCCTTACTTCCGCCATTTTAGTCCTAACAACAAATAACAGTTTAGTCAGCGTTTTCGAGAATTATGAGATTTTATGAACATAACACGTACTAGGTCACAATGTATAGTAAATCCTTTGTAATGATCGTCAGAGAACTGTGGTATCGAGCTTCAGCAGCTCTCCTCGATCCAATTACATCAATGATAAGGAATGTTATCCAAATTAGCTTTAGAGATATTGAAATGTGGGAAGTATCCTGATGTAATAAAATGGGTTTTTGATGCTATCTAACAGTTCGACTAAGCATCCAAGATTTGTTCATCTAGCTCTAAGGTTAGGTTAGCCTTTTAATCTATTTCGCTGTGACACGTATAAGAAAATAGCAGTATACATCTGTTCAAAATATGATTTGCAAATTTGGTGTTAAAAATGTGTGAGAATGTTAAACTTTCATAAATTTATGAAAATTAGCTGAAATATTTTACAGCATAAAAATATAGCATGATGTGTTATTGTTGATAGAATTGAATAAAGGATGACGAGTTATTATTGGTAGAACAGGATAAAGGATGATGCGTTATTATTGATAGAACAGATCATCCTTTATCCTGTTCTATCAATAATAACTCGTCATCCTTTATCCTGTTCTATCAATAATAACTCGTCATCCTTTATTTTCTATCAATAATAACGCCATGGATAAAGCATGATGCGTCATTGTTGATAGAACAGGATAAAGGATGATGTGTCATTGTTGATAGAACTGAATAAAGGATGATGTGTCATTGTTGCAGAACTGTATAAAGTATGGTATTGTTGTTGTTGTTAGAACTGAATAAAGGATGATGTGTAATTGGAAAAATTTATCCTTTATCCAGTTCTAACAACATTAGCATCATCGTTTATCCAGTTCTAACAACAACATCATGCTTTATCCAGTTCTAACAACATTAGCATCATCGTTTATCCAGTTCTAACAACATTAACATCATGCTTTATCCAGTTCCAACAACAACATCATGCTTTATCCAGTTCTAACAACAACAACAATACCATACTTTATTCAGTTCTATCAACAATGACACACCATTCTTTATTCAGTTCTATCAACAATGACACATCATCCTTTATTCAGTTCTACCAACAATGACACATCATCCTTTATTCAGTTCTAACAACAACAACAATACCATACTTTATACAGTTCTAACAACAATGACACATCATCCTTTATTCAGTTCTATCAACAATGACACATCATCCTTTATTCAGTTCTATCCACAATGAACTAATCATTATTTTTTGTTTTGTTTGTTTCAATGTGTTACACAGCACATACCTGGAAAACACGTAAACTAAGTAACTCAAATAACTTACACGTACCAAACGCTAGAGTTGAAAATATCACATTACAATAACAACTTTTGTTAATTCGACCACGTGACTTAAAGCGTGCCAAATCTCTGAAGGTCTCAAATATTATAAATGAAATTATTTATACACAATCATGTGACTTAAAGTGTGCCAAATTCCGGAGGTTTCAAAAATCATAAAAGAATAACTCAGCTTTATGTTCGTATACAAAGACTTTGTAGTTTTGATAATTGTAATAATCAAATAATGTGTTCCGATAAAATCCGTATTTACTAAGGAATACAAATAGGTGAATTAATAGGCATCAGTGAATTCTGTGTAGCTCAATACAGAACGCGCCATCTACCGTGCCTATTATTTTACAAATCTGTTAAAAATAAGAAACAGAAAACTTTTAGAATATATACTGACCAAATCACAAAACAACCTACCATTATAACTTGGCCATTGTCAGTTTCTATCTTTTCAACTCGTACTGTAACACGTACTGGAGATGAAAGATCTTCCACAAGCATTTGTTGACCAGTTCTTGGATTAAAGAATTGAACTTGCGATAGGGGGCCTAAAAGAACGCTCCCACCAATCACAGTCGCTATCTCACGAGCGACCTCTGCTGAACCAACACATGCTCCGTAACAGACGACAGAGTCACACGACCACGTTTGGTAAGTGTTGATGATGTCATTCTCAAGGAGCATCTATGACATTTTATAAAACAATATCACCTATATTTAATAATAAACAAAACATTTCCTAAACTAGTTTTGTAAATAAAACCTACATGAACTTCACTCATGTCAGCAGGATAAGATTAGTAAGTTCATTCATGAAGTCAGAAAAACACGTAGGTTCAAGAAGTCTTGATATAAAACGATAAAAATCCTACAACCCGAGCACTTTCGAAAGGAGGACCTTTCTTCTTCAAGGGTAAACTGGATAAACAGTGCTAGGGTTATGGGTTTTTTATCGTTAGTAAGTTCAAATATTCTACACAGACTATCTGTTAGTAAAACAAAATTATGACGAGTAGTTGTTTGAAGTTATAGATATCCAGATGACAATTTAAACAAATGGAAGTGGGAGATGCATCGTTTTATCTTTATATATATATCTATCTAATATATACATACATATATATATATATATCTAACATATACATATATATATCTAATACATACATACATATATATATATATATATCTAACATATACATATATATATATATATAT